TTGGGTAATCAAAATCAAACAACTACTTGGAATAATAAGTGCAAATTGGAGCTAAAAAGCAGTTTTGTTTGTAACAATCAACTTCATTATCCTCATGCCCACAAGTTGATTGAAGGGTGCATTTACTAATTTCCTCTCGAACAACAAAAAAAACGGAAGCCTGTCTGAAGGGGCATCAGACGATCATGAGCAGCATGGCAAAAGCAGCAGGTGAATGTTTTAAGTGACAACATCTACCAGCTGGAGAAGGTGTGTGTGAGGCCATCCGCCAACCTTTTCTCCACAGGTCACTGCCATGTCAGACGCCGCCGACGTGGTGTTCATGGCAACCGCAGCCTAGAAGAACAATAGGAGCACCACCGAGCACAGTGGATTGCTTTCCAAAAATAGGCAAAACTGCCACTAGCTGATAATTGTGTGTGTTCAGTGTCATCCTTTTCAAACCTTAGATCTCTCATCTTTCAACAAGAGAATGCTCATTTGACACCAAGCCAAATACACTATAGAAGACAGGATGAGAGATGGAGAGCCCTTTGGGCGTAATTTAGAAGATCAAGCTGGAAGAAGAGACAGGAGAATTAAATGAAGCAGTCCAAACTAATCATCAGGTTTCTGAAGGTGAAAAATGTGTGTTTACTGTGTCCAGCATGTCAAATTATTGAGCTGCCACACTTCATCAAGAGCCTCCTTAATCACTTGTTATTTGACTAATGATATGTTGTAGGATTGTCTCCTTCACAATGTCCCGGTATCTGGGTGGATGAAGTTGGAAAAGAACTGTGAGATTATTACGATGATTGTGTTCGAAAATGGCAGTGCATTGGTGCGTCATCCACCACCAGGATTTGTGAGCAAAACATCACGGTTAATTGTTAATGGAGCATGTCTCAAATTTATTCTTGATTACAGATAGAGGAGAGGGAATAATTGTAATGATATAACCATGGAACAATGCAACTCACACTTTCTAATTTTTTCTTTGTCTGGTTAGAAAAGTCAAGTTAGCTTATGAATATGTAATAATTAAAGATGCTCAGGGCGGCAACCATAGAACAAACAGGTTCATTGTTCGAGCACATTCAGTTCAGTCAGAGTTTCGTTTAAACTGACAAAACTGGCATTATTTACATTTTTTGTTTTTGCACAAAATTCCTGATAGCATGGATTTCTATTGAAATCACTAGATTTTGTCTGTAAAATTCACCGAACAACAGTAAATGTGACTGCACCTTTAGTCAAGTGTGTGAAATTCTGTGAATTATACAAAAGACACATACATTTCGCATTGGGTTCAAGTTGGTTACTCAGATTAGTGGGCATTAAAGGGCCATCGTCTATTATCAATAGTGCTTACAGAATTTTTAGATTAGGCCCTGGCTAATAGGGTGCCGAAACTCATAAACTGGTGAGCTCTTTACTTATATATGCAAATGAATTTCATTTATATAATATGAGAATCCAGGAATAGACATTAATGCAAGTAATTACATATAGTTCATTGCCACCTGCTCTGGATTATGCAATCACAATAAATTTGTCTGAGAATGTGTTCCATTCTAACCTCTGTTGTATTGCATTGATCTGTAATCTGTAATATTTCTTTGTTTACAGTGAGACATTCAGATGTATGATAAAATAGACTACCATTGTAAAGTAATGAAAAATTGTTACCAATTATGTGAGACATCAATTATTAGCTGTGTAACTTGATTTTATGGTTTGAAAATACATGTATGTGGAAAATACATGTGTGCGTGTGTGTGTGTATTTAGGCATTATGGCTGAATATGGAACATTTATATCACAGTGTGATGTTAATTAACATGTTCTGTTCTAAATAAATACATCTTTCTCCTAATTAAATCTTTTAAATCAGCAATCTGTCTATCTATAAGCCTGTTGTTCATGTTCACTGTATTATCTGCCTGCCTTGCTCTTATCCTTATTGATAGCTCAGGCTTATAATTTCTGAAAAATGTCCAGTTTAAAGTGCAGGAAGCCTTCTGATGTAATTATTTCCGCTGCTAATCTAAGCATGCACAGGTGGGCTGCTGACCGTCATGCCATTAGTTCATCTCTGCTGTCAAGTGACTTGAATTGTCACCCACTTTAATAGGGGGTATGCAGGGCACCCAGATAGTGTGTCAGTCATTTGTCAAATTTTGGTTTAACTTTGGACTGTGAATTGTGTTCTTCGGGTCATCAGCATTTGCCTGATATAGACATTGATGAATTAATGAACTGGAATGTGCATTAGGAAATCATCTTGTTTGTAAGAGGATGGAGATTTAGAGTGTTTAGAGTATTTAGAGTGTTAATCAGAATAATATTAGTATTTTAGGGTTTATCTAAAAGGGTCTGTTAAACAACCCTCTATGCTACTACCTTGTCGTGGTAGGGTTGCTTGTGTGTCTCAGTGACTCTTGGCAGCTATGCCGGAAGGGGCCAAGCCCCTGGTAGGTTCAACCAAGCCAGCCAGGTCCCAGGGTTGAGGCCAGACCAAAGGCAGCACCTGGTCCTCCAGGTTGGGGGTTGGGTGTGGGGCTAACAACCCCATCCCATAAAATCTATATTGTTACGGAAACAACAACGCTTGTCCAAACAACCAGCCCCAACATGGACATGAGCCAACAAACTGGCATCATGACTACTCCTGATGAAATCCATCAAAAGGAAGTCAGGAGTATGAAAGATAGTCTACTCGGGCCCAAAACCAGTATCTGTGTTGGAGCATGGAATGTTAGCAGCACCATGTTCGAAACATCAAAATCAGCTCAAGTAAGATACAAGAAGATATTTTGAACTTTGGGAAACAAATATTGTATGGCCAAAAAAATAAACAGATATTTCTCAAAATATCATTTTTTTTATGTTCCATTTAAGAAAAAAACAACAACAAAGTTTTGGAACAACACAAGGGTGAGTAAACAATAACTAAATAACTTCCCATTTAAGGTTAAAAAAAAAATGTCTGTTAACACTTTTTACAGCATGCCATGTCTCCTCTTAATTTTCTCTGGTTACACGCTGTGTTTTGCAATAATGACACTTCACAAACTGTGACCACTTTAGAAAATATTTGTAATATATTCACTGTCATTGCAAGTTTTTTTAAATAAATGTATGCTGATATGTCCATCGATGTCAGGCTAGCTATTATTTGCCATGACCCCTGCTGTTGTGTCATTGAACTGGGAAAAACTGCTGAAAAGGCCTTTATTTAAATGAACTCGGCACAACATGATGTTTAGACTCTACAAGTAAAAAGTGGAGGATAAGTTATGCACAAAGGATCAAGAAGTGATCAATGTGACAAAAAAGGTAAACGCTTTAAAAGAAGCCAAGATGGCTGATTCTGGAAACCTCCGAAATGTTATAGCCAGTAACTGTACTGCCATCACACAGATGTTACATTTGGTCTGGCTGGTGGTATTTATGACTCCTGCACAATAAGAAGATATGAATCCCAATGGCCTATATATATATATATACACTGTACATATATATATATATATTCTATTCTATTCTGAGGCATTGTTGACAGTTATGAAACCAGATGGTATTTATGGCTTTTGGTATGACCTAATTTAAAAACAGCATAAAATATTCCAAAAGGATTAATGTGAGTATATTTTTAGTTCGTTGTAGTAAAATGACTAAGAGTTTCCTATAACAGTAGGAGCTAATGATCTTTCACAACCTTCATGATGGTCTTTATTAAGTAATGCCTTCTAGTTAGGCTGATAGAATTCTTCAACATGTGATTAAATACTTTATATGGAGAGGATATGGCAATTAATTCATCTTATTCTGTGGTGTATTAGAATGAAGCAAATGCGTTAACTATTTGATTAATGATATTGTCATTCAATTTAATGGAGATTTTTTTCAAGGATTTTTTATTCAAGGTTTTTGCCTTTTGCATCAAATTCTGACAAATTCTGTTTACTGTGAGTGTTCATTGGGGTAATGCTGGCAGAATCTCTCATATAGACTCTTAAGATAATATGTTTAAGACAAAGATGATGGGTAAAACACTAAAGAAAACAGAAGCAGTGTAGTAGTTTCGTGGCACATTCTGCATACAGTAAATTTCTAAATCCAGCTGGCCATGATGAGGACTGTCCTGGTAAATGGCTCTTTGTTAATCCAATTCCTGACACCATGCCAAAAAAAAAATTCTTCTCGTCAGCCTGCCACCTCTCTAAATTTGCATCTAGCTGTACTGGCACCTTTCAATTCTGTTTAGCATTAGTAGGAGAGAGAATGTGTTGTAACTCATTTCTCCAAATGAAAACAGGGCCATGTTTGCCAGTTCCTCACCAAAAGAATATATTCCTATCCATCCATTTGGATCACCCAAAAGAGATTTAGTCCAGATTTTCAGCAGCTATGTGCATTAAATCAAAATGCACACAGTCTTAAACACCCACATTGTTTTATACTACAGTGTTCTTGCCATTTAAACTATGTGTGGCAATAATGCTTAATTATAATGGTCTCAAAAACAGGTAGTTCTAAATCTGTGGATGATGACCACCTTGTATGTAAACCATTCTAAGTAATCATATATGTTATGTAGTAACATTACGTACTATGTTCTAGAATACTATGAATTAAAATAAATGAACAAAATAAATAAATACTGCTTTTGGTTATTTTTGTGGTTGATGTTCTCAGTCACAGCGAGAACAATCACAAGCTGTCCATCGAGCTCCCTCTAGTGGAAGAATAAGGGAAGAAAATTGTAGATTTAATAGTAATGGTTATTATTTACATTAGTTATTAGTATTTGTATATAGAGGACACCAGAATTCAATTACACAAATGTGTTTTCTTGAGCAGTAATTTTGTTCATGACAAACATTCAAGCTATGTAATAAAGATATATTTTAACTTTTTTACCACTAGTTCAGATTTCATTTATCAACAGCGATTTGTTTATAAAACACTGCGACTCATTTAGTTGTATAATCATGTGCAGGCCATCAAAAATAAAATCATTCATTGACACGCTGCTCTTCTGATACCTCACATTTGAAGGCACATAGGATGCCCCAGTGATCGCTGATGAAATAGTCACACTTCAGCTTCTCCAGACCAATCAGGGTCATGCTTTCTGGCCGTAAATGGGCATCCTCTGCAGCTGCTCTGAGGAAAAGTCTGTCAAATCGCAGGCATATAGAATGAGGGATTTCTTTGTTATCATTAATGGATGTGTCCCAGGTGTATTTGCTTTCCTCCGGTTCCCCCAGCATCTCCCACACATCAGAGATACCATCCGGCAGCCCCCCGAGCTTCTTCACCTGTCATAAAAACACAGAAAAACAAACTAACACACCATATTTTGACATAAAATTGAGAAGGTTTATGTAAGAGGATAGTTGCCAAATTGCTAGTATCATGCACAACCTCCCAATCTCTAAGGTTGGTATCTCCTCCAAATATAACTGTGTGGTCCTCTGGAGCCTCTTTGATCCATTTCCAGACTCTCCGCAGCTGATTCAAGCGTTCTTGAGAGTTGGACTTACAGCTCTCCAGATGAGATGTCATAATGCATAGTGGATGCCCTAAAAAACTCACCTAAACGATTGTGCAAATGAGTAGCAGAAACAGGATGATGAATGATTCAAATGATTTAAATCACATTATGACCTTTATTATCTCAATGGCTAGCAAAAAGGATCTTACGTTTGCTATTGGCAGGTTCCTACCCATCTCTGTGGTGGGGTACTTCACTATGTTGCTCTGGAGCAGCTGCACTCTGTCCTTTCTGAGCAAAATGGCAGTGAAATAGCCATCCTCACTGCCTGAAACACAAAGTGATCAAATATTCATACCACAAGAATTGCATCTATAAAACTGAGTTTGTATGCAACATTAGGCATACCTTGCAGAAACTGATAGTCTTTCATAATGTTCTGTAATGTCGTCAAACAACCAGGAACAAGCTCTTGCAACAGTACTACATCTGCACTGTACCTGTATTAAAATGATAGTTCATCCATTAAATGATTTTGTAAACTGATTAAAGCATCTAACTAAAGTTAAATTCTTATTGTGTTCTTTGCATTTTAGGTTAAAACAATTAACACATTTGTAGGTCCAAACATTGATTTGTTTGTTTGAGCATCTCATACAATGCAGTATATTCTAGTTATGTTACCTTAACCATTGCTGTGAGTTTGGGGCTGAACTAAGTGTTTTTCCAACCAATGACAGAGTGGGGAGTGTTCAAGGAAACTAATTGCTTAAAAGCAATCATTGTTTTTAAAAATTTTGTTATGTGCTGCTAATAGTGCAGAAATTATACACTTCATTTTTGAATGTAAATCTAAATTAATATTAATAATTAGGCAATTTGAGAAACAGTTTTTTGCAATTGTAGATTCTCTAAACCTGATCACTTATTTAAAAAAATCTTTTTGGTAGTTAATTTATTCACCTTTATGAATGTGCATGAGAGATCTATCCTTTTTAATGTTTGGTCTGCATTCTTAAAATATCTGCATAAAAATCAAAATGGTGAGTAACACTTACTTTCCAAATTGTGACAGTAGGCCTTTGACCCGGTGAGAGATATTGTCTGTATCGAGGCAATCTATATTCCAGGATAACACAGTTAGATGACTGCTTCTGGAGCTGGATTGGGTTTCCTGTTCATCAGTTGATTGATCTGTGAAAGATCTTCCCCAGTATGCCTGTTGTAAGGAAAAACTGGAATGTTGTGTCTGTGTTGACTTGGATTCTGTTGATGGCGAGTGTATACCCTGGATTGGAGGGGTTTGTGTTGACTGCGTTTGGAAAGACTGGAGTTGAGGAGACTCCGTCTGGGTTGACTGGGCGCAGGTAGCTGATGCTTTCTGTGAACTGCTGGGATCTTCTTGATGAGAGGATCTTGCTAGTGAAGTTGCAGGTGTAAGGATTCTTGTTTTTTGGCTGTTCTTTTTGTTCTTCGATCCTGCAGACCTTTTTTCAAGGTGCTCAGGCAAGTGTTGCGAGGGTGGTGACTGCTCAGCAGTGACCAGAGTGCACTCACTGTCTGTTTTCATTTGACATGCAGCACTTTGTCTTTTCTTATTAATTTTTTTGTTCTTCTTCCCAGTTTTCCCCTTAACCATGGTATCCACAAGACATGGTGCAGTGTCATTACAGTCCACAGGGGGCTCTCCTGAGCAGGTATGACTGTATAAGGAAAAAAGGTCAACATGTCTAATGTTTTGCTTATACAGTCTAACCAAAGCAATAGAGTTACTTTTGTGAACAGTCATTGGCATTGTGGCATTAATTATAGATAATATCAACTCTTAATGCTTTAATGTTGATACTTAATAATACACATATTTATTTCAAACAGTTCTTACCTTGGTGAACAGGGTGGTTCACCCATTTTAATAGGGAACATTTTTCAATACAGGTTGAATTGTATTTTCTCTTCTGGATTCAATTTCTGTTCTAGGGTTTTGTCCTTTGCTAACAGTGATTACTGTGGACTGTAGTTAAACCTGTCATGAACAAGTTTTTTTCAGCATATGCTTATGAAAAGCATAGTTAACCCATTACAAAGCATGCATTGTGCCCAATATAACAATAACATGAAAATTATGCAACAGGTTACGCCTAGGTTTATAGATAAATTATCGCAGGCTAGGTAGCCTATGTGATCGTATCATTTATTTGATTTTTTTTGTAGGTTATAACCTAAATTAAACTTACCTCGGGCGAACTATCCGGTCCCAAGGAATTATTTAGCATGAAGCATTAGCCTTTCTCTAGTCTGAATTCTGCATAGAGCAACAAGAGCTGTTTTTGTGTTTCGATTTCTCCCAGTCCGTGTCGCGTGATGATGGTGAAGTTCGTCCTTTTGAACCACTGCGCGGCAATGGCAAAACATTCAAATCTCAGCACATTTTTGTCATACCTTACGGTATAAATAAATAAATAAAATAAAATAAAATAATTAATTAGCATATAAATCTTATTAGGGACGCTAAGAAATAAACATTGCATTATTTGGTCCAAATGTAATCGAAACCTATCGTAACTGACCAATCAGAGACAACGCTCGGGCCGCTAAACCCGCCACTTTTAGCTATGGTTTGAATGGTGATTCTGATGATTATTATTGTTACTGTTGTTTCTGTGACTAGACGTTTATGTGATATAATAATACTGATATATTATAATTAAACATTCTAAAATAATAAACATTCTAAAATGTTGTTGTTTCTGACTATGTTTGGGGTGTGGTCGTTATAATATTGTTAATATATTATAATTAATCATTCTAATAGAATTAACGTATTTTTAATAATAGTATAATTATGTAAAAGACGTAATTACAAAAAACAAAAACAAAAAACACGACGCTTGGATGAGAGGTGTGTTTCTGCAACATAACAGAGATCACGTCACGTGTCTACCTCCGCCCTGCTCGTCTGTCTGCTCTGCTGACACACTCCCTCGCGCAGAGATACTCCTCAGCATCTCTCTAGCAAAATCAGACCTTCATCTCAACATCACTGCCGCAATACCAGACCTTCATCCCAACATTACTCCAGCAGCGTGTATCCAGCGCGAGTTCGCTATGGAGCTGCAGTACGGAAGCTGATTCTCGATGTCATGGAAACAGATGCATCACATCCCACTGGTACAGCTACAGCTGACAATAATAGCGCACATTCTTTCTGTTGGCTTTCTATTTAGGCCCATTGTGTATAGTGATTTGCTTGTTTTATGAAACAAATAGTGGCAGTTGTGCTAGATAATGTAATATAAATAATAACGTAGATAATATAATGTATTTTACAATCACATGTAGATTTGTCCAGAGGTATCTTAAGCCCTCGGGGCTGGTTGCTATGAAGGATGGAAGTCAAATCACAAAAGGCCCAGCCACAAATAGGAATTAGAATTGCTTTGAATTATTATTAATTGATCATTTCTGCTGTTGTATTGTTATTTTGTCCTGTTTGTTTGTGATACCCTTGCCTGTGTTGTCTCCACTGTCTTTAACCTAAGTTTGAAGAGGGAATGACCGTCAGAAGCCATCGCTGTGAAAAGGCAGTAGTGGCATCATGAATTTCTCACCAATTCTCTCGCTCGTGTTGCTCTTCTGTATCAGAGGCAAGTATATATTTCTGCAGTACTTGTATCAACACCAAGACAGGTAAGCACTGCCATTCTGGATTATAATTGGAATCCATAAATAGTTTTTTTTTTTTAAAGAGCCCCAGTTGTGAAGTATGTTGATGTTGACACCTGTAACTTAATCCTGTAAAGCCTGACATATGTATAATATTTATAATATTATTATTATTTCTTTTTTTAAAGTTTGCCTATGTGTTTTATGTTTTGTATCATATTTGATACATCAGGCTTTTATGGTTAATATAGTATTATATAGGAGGGGGGAAAAACATTTTAAAATTTAATTACATTTTGAAAAAATAAGTCCAGTAGCTTCAGATCAGTAAATGCTCATCCTGAAATATAAAATAATAATATAAAAGTTATTATCATGTTTACTTTATAAAAATTATTAAAGATTTCACAGCAAAAAGACACAAGTACCATGACCTAAAGTTGGAATTTTTTTTTAGAATTTTACAATTACAAACCCAAATATTTATTTCATCATGCATTTGTTGTGTTTTGTTGATGTAGTATCGGGACAGTGCTGGCAGGCCGCAACCTATTCTGAGAGCGTAGTGTCTCCGGAGCTGAGGAGCAGCAGTATTTTGCGGGTTCCAGATGTGTCGTCTCTGGCCCAGTGTGCGGGGGCCTGTTGTGATCTCCCGGGCTGTGACCTGGCCTGGTTTTTTGAGCACCGCTGCTATGTCCTCAGTTGTAAGCACAAAGAGAACTGCCAGCCGAAGCAGAGACCTGGTACTGACTCTCTCCTGGCATTTTTGCAACGTGGGCCCCCGCAGACACTGGTTCTGCAATCCCTGGTTCGAGGAGAGTCTTTCCCAAACCACTGGCAGCCCCTGCCCAGGCACAGGGGCTCGGAGGACCCCATGAAGGACCTTGCCTTGTTGGAAGGCATTCAGGATTTGGACAACACTGATGTTGAGTATGCTGAGAGTTTCAGAAGTTTGGAGGACAAAAGAGCTGACGACAGAAATGCTGCAACAGTAGAACAAGAAGAGCGGCCTGGGCTATATGATTGGCCACTTGTTCAAGGAAAAGAAGAATTCAACCAATCGGAGACAGAGAAAATTGGTGACGACAGACTAACGACAGTCCAGGGCCCTCTTGAAACCAGCCCCTTACCTCCAAGTCCCCTCCCAGAAATGAGAAATGAAAGTAAATCATCTCTTATTGAAGCAGATTCTGATGTTACGCCCCCAGGAATCATGACACTTAACACAAGGGTGAGTGTTTCAGATTCATGCATATTATATTCAGATGCCTTCAAGACATTAAAAAAATGGACAGGTAAATGTTTAAAAGCTTAGGGTCAGCAAGGATGCATTAAATTGAGCAAAAGTGAGAAGTTATTTATACAAAAGATTTCTATCTGAAATAAATTCTGTTGAAAAAATGCATCACATTTTCCCAGATTCTACAAAAATATTAAGCACCACAACTGTTTTCAATATTACTGTAATAATAAGAAAAATTGTTTCTTGAGCACCAAATCAGTAAATTATATTTTTTGAATATCTATATAAAATTGACACAGCTGTTTGCAGGGTAATCAACAATTAAAGGAACAGGTTTTCACTTATACATGGATGCCAATTTATTATCAGAGCTTGAAATGTCATGATTCTATTTTAATGTTGTGGCGTCATTTGGAAACATGGTGTCTTAAATGTACTCTCACTCTGGCCAAGTGCTTAATCAGTCTTTCATGCCTCATCTGCTGTGTGAAATCTGGAAATAACACATCATTATCCTCTTAGGGTCACTTTTTACTTAACTCTTTATTCACTTTTATCTTTAATCGCCTTGTTCTGGTGTACTGTATTAATTCACATGCTTTGTATTGACATGGTTGAAAAATTTAGAAAAGCAATTTGTCTTTTATCATTAAAGGTTGAAGAAGTCCCACGGAACATTTCATCTGCAACTGCTGCACCTAACGACCTGCAGGATATCAGCACAGAGCCATCGAGGTTCAGCACAGTCAGTGGTTCCTTCACTGCTCCACCCAGCACTGAGGCCACGCCGCAAATGATCTCAGAAGAGCCAGGTGCTATAGATGTGTTATTGCATTATTTCCATTTATTAGTGGTGCTTACTAATGCAAGCATCACTATTATTATTACTCAGATTATCTTATAATATATTACTTTCTTTTCACACACTCTCTGTGATCAGTAAGACCCCTGACTGTGTCCATTAGTGGCCCTATGGAGGTCACACTGCCTCAAAATACTGTTGAACTAACTGCTTCTGTAAATCTAGATGACATTGCAGGTAAGGCCTTCTGCATTCTGAATTATGAACATTCCTGAATGACAATTATGCATTTAAAATGAAGTTGATGGTGCATTTTTTCTCAGAAGCTCCTTACACATATGAGTGGACTTTGGTAGCCTCACCAGATAGACACCACGGGGTGATGGAGGGGCGGCACAACAAGTCTGTCCAGCTTTCAGAAGTGAGACTCAACTCCTTGTCACTTTCACTATGACTGCCAAGTGATCATTTAAAAGATGAGACAATTGTCTTTAAAAAAAAAAATAATAATTGTTTCCTTTATTGCAGCTTTCTGTGGGTGTCTATGCTGTCAGAGTGAGTGTGAAAGCACAACAAGCTTATGGAGAAAGTGCTGTGAACTTCACAGTACACCCTGGTACACTTGCACCCTCTTTAGATCGTACTTTGATATTATTTAACAGTATATACAGTATACAGCATACAGTATATGCATGTCTTTCATATATGAACAGGGTGGTACTTTTTATTCTACAGCCGTGAATATAAACAAGCCTCCTAAAGCCATCACTCTGCCCAAGAGCCAAGATGTGCTTCTCCAAGAAGGTTCCATCTTCATCATTAATGGGAGTCGTATGTAGCTTGTTGTGTCCATTTCTCTCCATTGTTTCTTTAGATCATTTAGACCATGAATTTTTAACCAAATGTACATTCTAATGCTTTCCAGAGAGTATGGATGATGCTGGAATAGTCAGTTACTTGTGGGAGAAGGTGGATGGCCCTTTTTGGAAACCTGAAGGCCTTGTTGATACACCTGTACTGCAGCTACAAAATCTTTCACCAGGAGAATATACCTTCAAGTAAGGACTTAGCTTGTCTCCAAGATTGTACTCTATGAATAGGCCTGTGTATTATATAATTTTCAATTTTCATTCGATTTCATTGAAATCTTTGGTGCGCAATTCCTCTGGGGCTTTTTCAGTTTGGCTCATCTCATTAAATTTATCCTGTCCT